AATATAGATCTAAATTTTTTTTTTACGATACAATTTTTCAAAACAATCAGGCTCTGCTGATTCGAATCTGTTAGTGAACGTCTTTGTTGTTTTTTGTTTGTTCGCTAGCTTTGGTATTTGGGGGGGGGGGGTTAATCTCTTCTTTTTATGCATTAATGCACCCAAATTCGCAAATTATGGTGAAATGGTATAGATTTAACGCCCCTATCACTATCAACACTGTTAGGTTATGGACCTCGAATCAAGAGTTCAACGTCCATCTCCAAAAAGACCGAGCCACGTGAGACATCCGTGTACCGTTCCTCTCTCAAGGACAAATTCGCAATAAAAGTAACAAAATGGGCACACACAAACAAAAACTGTTGATATAAAAAAAATGGACAAAACAATATGAGCAAACGTATTTCTTTTATTATCAAACTCTGTTAAATTCATTGGTATTACATCGTTCAAGCCTATTGATCTAAGCTCCGGTATATTTTACCAAGTGAAAAGAGGGGAGGGGGGGAGGGGGGGAGAGGGGTAAACCCAATAGCACCAAGCACTCCCTGGCCACAGCAACAACAACGACGACTACGACGACAGCGATGACAACAACAACAACAACAACAACAACAACAACAACAACAACAACAACAACAACAACAAAGTACAATAGAGAACATAGTTGACCCAATATCTGTTTCACTAAAATGAAATACATGTACATGATGTCAATAAGATCTCAAAGATCGGGAAAATGAAGAAGTCTCTAATGAGAACACTGGGGAAAAGAGGTCAAAATCCCACTCGGGGGTTCTTTTCTCTTCTTGCTTCATCTATCTGGAACTCACTCCCGCAACATTAAAGAGACACAAAGTCCGAGGCAAATGTAAAATTCATTTTAAAACATACCTAATAAAATGCGACTTTGACGGTTGGTTCTTAAAATTCATAATGCTCTTATGTTCATAATGTGATGTACATTTCGTTGTGATAATATACACGTATAAGTGTTAGCTTTAATCACAAGAACGTATGCATGCACGTTCATTAACTGGTGTTTTCTGTTCAAAATTATTGTAAAGCGCCTAGATCTACATTGTATGGTAGAAGGAGCTATAGAAATGATATTTTTTATTATCATTATTATTATTATTATTATTA